TCAGAAGTTGTCAATTAACTAGAGCAATTCTTTTCTATGTTTCTATTGAATCGTATGACATTTTTCTGATTACTTCTTTAAAAAACTTGTCTTAGATGACGAAGATTTTTGTTTGACTTACTTTAATTTCTTTATCATTAATCGATCGACCAAGAATACGAAAAATAAGTTCATAATATTCTGATAAAATGGTTGAATCTTTTTCGGACGTATTACATTTGCTAATTTGGCAAATCGCCATAGAACACCTAATCCAAATTAAAAAAAACACCTTATTATAAATTTAAGTCAAATAATAAAAATAACCTTTTAAAATTTTTGGTTCAACATTAGGATTATGTTTTATAATTCCATGTAATTCAACTTGAATTCTTGTTAAAACCACTTCTTTTAAATTCTATTTTATAATTCATGCAAAATTATACAAAAAAAAAGAATTTCTTTATAATACTTTGGCAAATTTATTAAGACTTTCTTCGGCAGTCAATGGTACATTATAATCATTTTCATTACATGCTGTAAATAATATTTCTACAATAGCTTTAATTAATTTAAATAGTTTTCATTGTTACTTCTAGATAAGAAAAACATTCGACAAGAGATGAAAAAACAGAAAAATCAAATTATTTTGCTTGATTATTAATGTTTCTGATGTTGTTGTTGATAGTAATTTTAAAAATTCAAGTGATTTACTTAGTTTATCCATTTTGTTTAATTTATATTCAATCCATTTATTTTAAAGTCAAATAAATAAATGACTAAGGTTAAACATTATTTGATAATCATAACGAACGAATGGATGAATAGTCGACTGAAAAAGACTAACATCGATTGAATATTCATAAACACCATTGACATTTCTCTTTTTTCTATTAGTAGATGATGCTAGATTACATTTTTATAAAATAAAACTGTATAAATTGAAAACCTTATCATTAACTAAAATTCTTATAGCTAAAATATAGTCTTTGCTACATGTTCAATAGGGATATGTTTCGATCTTGTAAATACTTAAAGTACGCCTAAAGACATTATTTTGCGCTGGAAACAGGCAAATGGCGTACAGAATAATTGAGTCTGAGGGAAAAAGAGAACTACACAGATAGTTTTCAAAATCAGGAAGAAAAGTGTTGGTTACGACTCATATGCAGCATGTTTTTCTACCGAAGATTGTTCTATCTTAAAGTTTCAAACGACGTTTTCAAAAGAAGGTGCCATTCAATTTTTTATGTTTACACGTTTTTCAAAGCATTAAGAACGATCATCGTCCTTTTAGTGCTTTCAGTCTTGTTTATTCCTTTTAATATATATATCTTGCGATGCTCTGAGAATCGATGTGTGCATGCAAATGAAGAGAAGATCTACGATGATCTAAATTTGGGGTGGGTGTGAGTGTGGTTTCAAGTAAAGGTTACTTCTATACACAAACATTCACCCACATCCATACTCACAACCTATTGGCAACAGTAGAAGCCATCATCGACTAATAAGACAGTGCCATCCATCGCCCTTTCGTATTGAAGTCCAAGGCAACCGAAAGGAACACCAGTAGGAAAGAACAAAAATATGTTTAAATCCTATTTAGAAGTTCTTTTTTTTCTTTTCTATTATTTATGACTATAATGCAATTCTTTTGTGCATGTGTCGTTCTTATTCTTTCTTATCTCTTATCTGAAGTATGTACATAGATTTTGCCTATTACATTTAGCCAGCAATACTTTTGAAATAAAAGAAAGAATAATCAAAATAAGAAGTCCTTGAAGTTGATAACAACCAGCCAAACAAAAACGAAACTATCAATATAAAAAGGAAGAAAAAACCGAAATATATTTAGAGAGAGACGACATATTTTTGTTTTTTTGATATTTTACAGTGTGCAACAAATATTCACGTTTCCATTCATTTACGTAAACTGAACAAGAAAATCAAAAGGTCATCACCATCATCGTCATTATCAGCGAAATGGACAAGAAAAATTTGAAATCAAATGCTAGTGACTCATCGTTGTCTACCACAAGTAAATCAAATAAGTTATCCTCAGCAGCAGCAGCAATGACAGTCGTGAGTAGAAATGTCACAGAGCCACGCCCAGTTCGTCGGATGCTGCAAAGTTTTCTTTTGGTCTGGCTTGATGCCAATTTCGATGAGTCCAAAGACAATTATAAAAAATCAATGGAACATCTACAACATATAGTCGCAACGGTCACAGTGTTTACAGACGTTGATGAATCTATTGATTTTCTCACTGACATTGAAAGCGAAAAAGTATCTATGATGGTATCAGGTGCCCTGGCACAACACATAATACCGATAATTCAAGAATGCCCACAGTTAGTCTCAATTTATATTTTCTGTGACAATCAATCGATTCATCAACAATGGGCCAAAATAATACCTAAAGTAAAAGGTGTATACACACAAATTGTATCGATTTGTGAAGCATTAAAAATCGATCGTGAAAATTGTGATCGAGCTATGATCCCGATCAGTTATCATGGCATTGATGCGTTATTTATGTACACGCAATTGTTAAAAGAAGCATTTTTGGAAATCGAAGATGATGATACAAAATCAATTAAGGAACTCGTTGAGTACTGTCGTCTTCATAGTGATGCTTCCGAAAAAACACTTAAAATGATCGAAGAAGAATATCGTGATCATGCACCCATTTGGTGGTACACGGGTCCATATTTTATCTACTCAATGCTCAATCATGGCCTTCGACTAATGGATATTGATGCTATACTAAGAATGGGCTTTTTTATTCGCCATCTACATCAACATATTACAGACTTACATCGTGAACAGCAAAGTAGCAAAGTTGCCATGCCATCGAAATTTCAAGTTTTTCGTGGTCAAGGCTTATCCGTGGAAGTCTTTGAAAAAATGAAGAAAACCAAAGGTGGACTTATGTCGTTTAATAATTTTCTGTCGACAAGTCGTAATCGTGAGATTTCTTTCGAAACCTATGCACGATCGGCAGCGTTCAATACGAATTCAGTTGGCATCCTCTTCGTTATGAGCATCGATACGGCCATTTGCACATCATCATCGACACCTTTCGTCAACGTCAAAGATATTGACTTCTACGAGGATCAAGAAGAAGAAATTCTTTTTTCGACACATACAATTTTTCGTATCGATCGTATAGAACCTATTGAAGACAAGCATACAGATCGTCTCTGGCAAGTCAATCTCACCCTCACTGGTAATCAAGATGATGATTTTACCAAACTTACAGCACATTTACGCAAAGAACTTGACGTCGCGGGAACAGGGTGGTCTCGACTGGGTTCTATTCTTATTAGGTCGGGTGAGCCTGCAAAAGCAGAACATCTCTATCAGCTACTCCTTGAGAAGGCATCTTCTGATGGAGATAAAGCACAGTATAATGGTGAACTTGGCACGGTGTATGACAATATAGGAGAATACTTGAAGGCAATAACATTTTACGAAAGAGCAATCGATATCTACAAGAAAATGAGCCCTCCGAATCATTCCGACTTGGCTACTTCCTACAACAACATCGGTATGGTGTATTATAACATGGGCGAGTACTCGAAAGCACTTTCATCGTATGAACGATCACTTGAAATCCGAAAAATAGTTCTCCCTCCGAATCATCCCGACTTGGCTGCTTCCTACAACAACATCGGTAATGTGTATAATAACATGGGCGAGTACTCGAACGCACTTACATACTACGAAAAAGACCTGGAGATCAGTCTGAAAGCTCTCCCTCCGAATCATCCCGATTTGGCTACTTCCTACAACAACATCGGTGCGGTGTATTATAACATGGGCGAGTACTCGAAAGCACTTTCATCGTACGAAAGATCACTTGAAATAAAAAAAATAGCTCTCCCTCCGCATCATCCCGACTTTGCTCAATCCTACATCAACATCGGTGCGGTGTATGATGAAATGGGCGAGTACTCGAAAGCACTTCCATCGTACGAACGATCACTTGAAATCCGAAAAATAGCTCTCCCTCCGAATCATCCCGACTTGGCTGCTTCCTACAACAACATCGGTTCGGTGTATTATAACATGGGCGAGTACTCGAAAGCACTTTCATCGTATGAACGATCACTTGAAATCAAAAAAATAGCTCTTCCTCCGAATCATCCCGACTTGGCTGGTTCCTACAACAACATCGGTTTGGTGTATTCTCACATGGGCGAGTACTCGAAAGCACTTTCATCGTATGAACGATCACTTGAAATCAAAAAAATAGCTCTCCCTCCGAATCATCCCGACTTGGCTGCTTCCTACAATAACATCAGTGCCGTGTATTATAACATGGGCGAGTACTCGAAAGCACTTTCATCGTATGAACGATCACTTGAAATAAAAAAAATAGCTCTCCCTCCGAATCATCCCGACTTGGCTGGTTCCTACAACAATATCGGTTCGGTGTATTATAACATGGGCGAGTACTCGAAAGCACTTTCATATTACGAAAAGGCGCAAGACATCTTGAAAAAATCACTACCTTCAAATCATCCGCATATTGCGGATGTGAAAAGAAACATTGACAATGTGAAAAAGAAAATGTAATTTTTTTGTTCTTTTCAAAAGAGAAAATAAATTGGCATTCTTGAACATCAGCCTCGCCAAACGGCACCAAACGCAGCATTTCGCGCACGCGCGATCAGGGATACCCTCCGTATTCTGTTGGGTTGTACAGTGGACAAAGCCGGCAATGATAAGGCAAACATACATAGATGTATGTTATGAAGGTCTACCATCTACGCAGGTTACCACCAGAACGTCGGATATCTCTGGGAAGGTTCAATTATTTTAGAGCCACCCTCGAAAGCTCTATTAGTTTAGAAATTTTTTTGTTCTTCCGTTATGAAGAACGAGAAGAAACAGAAATGGAAAGAAGAAAAGGTAAGAAAACGGAAAGACGCGATGAAAGACGACGTCGACAGAATTATAATACGCAGTGCACGATAACAACCGGTGTTTGTCAAGCGATGAAAAATCGAGTGCACGATATCTCGGTTATCTTTAAACATTTCGTGTTTAATTCGTTTGTGATTTCATCTCGAATGTATAAGAATAACTCAATATCTTATCGAACAATTGATGATTGAACGAAAGGAAACGAAAAAAACGTATCAATCTAAGACATTTTATTTTAAGTTTTATTATCTCAACTGTAAAGTGAAAATTTGTTGAATTGTTTTTTTCTGATTCGTAAATAAGGTTTTATTTTAAAAACACTTCATAAGAAAAAAAAACACTATTTTCTATGTCATGGCGTTCTAGATGAAAAAAAACCTCAATCTATCATATAAAAATTAAATATTGGTTAGGATATTATTGTTTTGAAATGTGTAAGCTGGTATCAATTAATTAGAACTGGAATGAATACTTGTAACTATTCGAGAAAAAATATTTTTATATTATCCATTTATCGTTTTTTTTTGCAGTACGACAAAATGTTAATCATATAAATTAGGAAAGAGACTAATAAAATATAGACTAGTTGTCGTATTTTACTATTTTCATCATGAGATAGTGTTTTTTTTACTTATGTTAGTCATTCCAAGCATCAGTTTTTTCGAGAAAAGCAAGTGATGTCGAAAACACAAGCAACAACTCATTTTCACTCAAGGTCATTTAAAAAGTATCGCGATATATCTTATCAATAGTGATCTCGTCTTTTATTGTATAAAACGAAGATTATACGACATCAATTTTATTAGTTGATTCTCAAATAATCGATGATAAACACGAAGATGAAGAATTATCTGATCATATTCATAAGAACTCTTTATCAAATGTTAACACTGTAGTTACTAAAGTAACTGGTATAGATGAAGCTGAATTAAATGATTTAATTGAACTATGACTGATATTTCACCTTGGTAGGTAAAATAAATCAAAATTTAATTTATCAATTGAAAATGAAAGAAAAACTGAATTCAACCTTTAAGATTCATCAACTCATTCAAATTATATATCTATATTTACATGACTATTTCATAAAGAGTTCTAATTATTTATGAATTGAATATGAAAATTCAATTAATATTGATCTATTTAATGCTTTTAT